ATTAATAAGCATATAATGTATGTAAAATAGGGGCCCCTGATTGCCCAGTGGTTACCAATGGGCTGCTTACTCCAAGGTCAAGCAGGTCAAAGCCACCAGTGGCTCTTGGAGAGAAAGGGCTTTCTGATGCAAGAACGAGGTACAGGCCCCTAAGCCCACGGCGGCAGTCCCACCCGGCCTGCAGGAGCGCCGACTTGATGGCTGTGAGTGTGGTTTCTTGGCAGTGAGTGTGGTTTCTTGGTGTGTCATCTCATGGTTATTCGACTTGATGGCAGTGAGTGTGGTTTCTTGGTGTGTCAGCTCACGGTTATTTTCCATATCTGCTCCTATCACCCAGAACACTTCAGACAGTGTCCTGACGCCTCTCCTTGTCTCGCTTCTGACAGCCATCCTTCAACATTCACAATGACAGCTCTGCTGCCTGTCACCGGGTTTCATTTAACTTTGAGAAGCATTCAATCACTTATATTGTCTGGGGAAGTTCACTTCCAGTGGCGCTTGGATGGTCCCCTAAACTAACCAAACATTGCCACTATAATTTCTTGTGGCATTAATTCTAATAATCTAAGGGGACTTCAGATCCATAGTAATATTATACTTTTATATTTGCTAAATATCTATAGCCCCATTAGGCGAGAAAGAAATTATATTCACAAAAATAAACATTTTCCTTAAATTTACGGGATGCAATATGGATGGGTTTTTGGTTTTTGTTGCTGCTGTTCTCATTCATTGTCATTTCCAATAATTTTATATTTTCTATAATTCCCCCTGTTTTCATCAACACTGAAATAATCTTTTCTGATAATAAGACATGAAGTGAATTCCTTTAAAGGCATCTCTCTATGTGGACTACTCAGTGAAGTAAGAGTAGAATATTAGAGCCATGCTTTTTCCAGATCAGCACTGACATCCATCTCAGAACACCATTTTGTACAGTATTGATTCCCACTGGGGCCTACCAAGTACTGGGTGCAGCAGGAGCTATGAGTCGTTAAAGGAGAGAAAGCCCGTGTGCTTTTATGCATCTTCCTTTCTTCCGTTCAGGTTTTCTATTCAGGAGATGCCTTGCCGATTCCTAGAGATAACTGCGTTCTTTGGACTCTCAGCCATTTAAAACTGTTTATCTATTTCCAAGTATGCAAATGAAACTTTCTGGAGTGTGGTGGCATAGTGTTGGTGGCTTCCCTTGGGCACTATACACCGAAGCACTGGCCAGCCTTTGGAAGAAAGATGAGATTTTCTGCTGATCGAAGTGTCCTCGTCTTGGACACCCCCAGGGGTGGTTCTAGTCTGTCCTATAGAGTGGCTCTAAGTTAGAATTGACTCAATGGCCCGTATTGAAAAGTTTGACTTGGCACTTTTAAAAAACATAATTTAAATAACCATTCTTCCATTTCATAGAGGTGGCAGAAATTTTCATAATCATTCAGCAAAACTTCCTCATTGTACATAAACTTGAATTTGACACATTTTAATTAACATGGGTTATATTTAATAAGTAAACTTATAATTACCCATTTTTATCATTCCAGTTCTGACTTATAGCCACCTTGGGGTTTCTGAGGCTGTAAACTTTCACTTGGGCAGATCCGCCTCGACTTTCTCCCTCAGAGCAGTTTGTGGTTTTGAACCCTTGACCTTGCAGTTAGCAATCTACTGCTTAGAACTTAAAATTAGTGAAGTTAAATTTTAAAATTGTATTAAAGAACTTGAAATGGTGAAGTATAGAGTTGACACTAGAAATTTGCGTACTGGAAGTTTCTCTGGGAGAAGTGTGCTATATCCCTGGCAAATAAGAACAACATTAGGAAATGAGCCTAATGATCTAGGGATTCCCAAGAACGAGAGGAAAGTGTCGGATCTGGGAGAGCTCACACTGCTTTGAGACTCGTCATAAGCTAAATTTGGAGTCAGCAAGGTTCTATCAGTGCTCGCCCCCACCCCCTTCTGTGCCGGGGCCCTTTCCCCTTTCATTACAACGCCCCCTCCTCAGCCTTAAGTATCGTCTTCCTTCTTCATGATCACCCATTCCTGAAGGTTATCAATCTTCAGTTGTTTCATTTCAAAGGGAAATTATTTGAAAATTAAAATCCTTTCAGAAGAAAAGGAGCTTCGGTGACAGAATTATTCATATACCCGATCTCTGCCTGACAGTCTCAAATCTTGATATGGACCATCTGGAAGCCCAGAAGCTGGGAGCCAACGCCACCCCCCCCCTAACCCCTACCCCCCGGCAAAAAAAAAAAAGAGTTCCGTATTGAAATCTTAGTGGGTCCTCTGCCTTGATTTTGCTCAGTAACTACCAACCAGGTCCGTTAGGTTTCTGGTTACATGCTCCATCCTTGGACGACCTGTCCTATCCATCTCTATGGTCCTCGTTTCTTCATGCTGCTTGGGGCTGTCACATCTCAAATGGAGTCCCTAAATTTCATCTTATAACTGCATGTTCACTCTGAGCATACACCACTCCCTTCCTGGCCTCAATTTTAAGAGGGGCTCTCATAACCTCATGCCCTAACCATACCTTTATTGAGCTTATTACTCTGAACACTTTCATAAGGCCAGTTTTAAAGGAAGCATACATAAAAAAGAAAGTGAAATTCAATCAATTTAATTAGGGGTTAAGAAATTAACAAATAATATGTATTGCTTCATCTAAAGGTGTACTTGTTAGTTTTCCTTTCCAAATAATAATCCATAAAAATAGCTGGTTATGGCCCTCCTTATCATAAAGTAAGGGGCAGCCCCGATGAAAGTGAAATAGTTGCATAAAAAACCATGGAGATGAGCTCACCCCATGGTTCAATTTTCAGCAAAAGAATAGGGAGCTCTATAAGGAGAATAATCACACTAGTAAGGTATGCATACCTTAGAATAATCAGCCATTTGATGTCGGTGGTTGGGGGTGGGGAGGAATCAGAAGAATTAGAACCAAAGGAAGAGTAGAGCTGAGGAGACCTAGGGAGGAGAGATGGATGAGCAGGATTACATTGAGGGGACTTCTTGTTGAGATGAAATAAAGCATGTATTTAATTATTATGTTAGTCTGGGTTAACTAGAGAAACAAATTCATAGGCACTCATATGTGTGTAAGAGAGAACTTTATATCAAAGAGCAATTGAATATTAAGAAAATATCCCAGTCCAGTCCAAATCAAATCCGTAAGTCCAATATTAGCCCATTTGTCCAATACAAGTCTATAAATTCCTCTTTAGACTCAAGCAACACATGCAATGGCACTGAAATCTGGAAGATCACAGGCTAGTGGGTAGAAGGTTTTATGGATCCAGTGGCGGTGGAAAGATCTCATTTCAGTACTGGCATGGGTCTCCACATGGCTCCTCCAGCTCCAGGGCTCGGGATGCATCAATGTAGCCCCATCTGGCTTGTCAACAGGAATGTTTCACAGAAAGGCAAGCAGAGCAGTACCTGGCCTCCAGTGAGCTATTTATCTCCTTATTATTTAGTGTCTCCAAATGAGATCATCAAACTGTGACCTGATTGACAGGCTAGACTCCACCCCTTTGCAAGTTGACAGGAGATTAAATAACTGCTACAATTATATAATGCAGAACTGATGATCTGCTTTATAAAACCTTCACCCAATTCAAAATGAAAAGACAAAGTCTAGTTAGCATGGAATACATTGACTGAATAAAAAGCACTGAAGACATAGGGAAAATATTTTGCTAGCCAAACACAATTACCCCAGTCAGCCTATTAACCAAAACCAAACCAAGCCCACTGCTGTCATGTAAATTCCAATTCATAGAGACCCTACTGTATTGGGTTTCTAAAGCTGTATATCCATCTATACAAAGCAAATAGCCTCTTCCTGCTCCCACAGAGCACAGACTGTGGTGAGCAGACCGAAAGCCAACCCTCACTAATACTCTTAATTCTTACAAAAGGATCGCACAAAGTTTTAATGCTGGCTTGGTAGCTAGATAGTTGGTAGATAACACAGAGTCTTGCTTCTGGCTATTTCCACTTACAAAGCAAAGCAGTCAGATCTCCCTTCTTTTTAGCTTTTCTTCTTGAACTGAGAGATACATTATTGATGAAATGGTTGCTATTATACCTGATTAGCAGCAAAACTCATTCATTGTTATGTTTTTGTTTTTCCTTACTGGTTCTCCTCAAGACAATGGCAATAAACCTGAATTTGTTTTTGCCTTTTTCATTTGCATGTGTGTCTATTTGCATATTGCTAGGTATTTTGTATCGTTTTCATAATAGAGTGTACCTTGTTGACTTTGTAAATAGCTATCTATCCTTTGGGTGCTATGTTTTCCTTCATCATTTGTGGTCCACTATTCTAGAACTGGATGGCTACATTTTAGCTGAGTCTGTTGATTCCTACTTAGTTAAATGACAAAAAGAAAATGACCATTGAAGAGCCTGGGTGATGCAGGTATGAACTGGTTCTCTGAGCACATCAGGTACAGGCTCTTTAGGATTTTTCACGAAATACAATACTAACATGAAGAACGCTGCTAAACATCCACTTTGTAAGCTTGCTATTTGTCATGTTAAGTACCATGACTCATCAGCTACAGATCTTCATAAGAGAGACTGGGAGAAAACAGTCCTCAGTATGGTGTTGGGGCACATGTGAAGTCTAAGGGCCTCAACAAGAGACTCCGTACAACCACCTCAGCTTTATTTCATGGTGGTCTTTCTGATGTTGTTGTGCCCTTAGCATTGTGTGAGTAATATTTTAAGAGATCCATCTTAAGGCCGCTTCTTTTATTTGCCTGGGTTTATGTAGATCAAATATTCCTAGTTTGAATTACATTTGCTTTCAAGAATGTGGTTGTCTTGGTGTCCTGCAAGAGAGATAAAAAACAACAGCTTATAATAATGCATTCATAAACACAAGTGTATTGGTTAGAAAATGTATCTCTCAAACATTTCTACCAGATACTAACAGAAGAGGTACTATGGTTTCAATACTAAAATTTTGTGTCTGCGTGTGTGTTTCCTTGTAGTTTAAGGAAAAATAAGGAACAAAGTAACTGTGCATTTGTCAATCCAGTTTATGGGAATTGGAGCAACCCAGAAAAAACAGAGGTAAGTGGCCATGATGGATCATATCCTTTCAGTGGTGAATACAAACATGCGCGCGCACACACGTGCACACACACACATCATCAACCAGGAAGTCATTGGACATGTTTGTAAATAACAGCTGAAAAGAAATTTTCAACAGAACTATTTCTTTGACAGCTCATTCAAAGGGCGGCTTGAAAAGACATGAAAATATATCAAATGTGCAAGCCCTAGCGTGTGCAAACACACTCAGCACAACTTAAACAGAAAGAACTCAAGGAAAACTCAAGCCTTGAGCTGAAGTCTTGAAAGATTCTATGGGCAAAATATTGAATGATACAGAAAGCATCAAAAGAAGATGGAAAGAACACACAGAGTCACTGTACCAAAAATAACTGGTCGACATAAACCATTTCAGATGCAGCATCTGAGCAAGAGCCTCTGGTGCTAAAGAAAGTTCAAGCTGCTTTTAATACACTAGGCCAAAACAAGGCTCTGGGAATAAATGGCACACCGATTGAAATGTTGCCACAAGCTGCTGAAGCATTGAAAGCACTTGCTCATTTGTGCCAGAACATTTGGAAGAGAGCTAGTTGGCTTGATGACAGGAAAAGGGGCCTGTTCATAGAAAGGTGACTCCAGAGAATGTTCAAATTATAGAAAAATATCATTAGTATCACATGCAGGTAAAATTTTGCTGAAGATCATCCAACAACAGTTGCAGCAGTACATTCATTGACAGGGAGCTGCCAGAAGTTCAGGCCAGATTAAGAAGAGGACCTGGAACAAGGGATATCATTGCTGATGTCAGGTGGGTCTTGACTGAAAGAAGAGAATAAAAGGAAACATGTTTATTTGTGATTTACTGACTATGCCAAGGTATTCAGTTGTGCAGATCACAACAAACTATAGGTAGCCTTGTGGAAAACGAGAATTCCACAATGCTTCATTGTGCTCCTGTGGAACTTGCACAGGGATGAAGAGGTGGTTGGTTGTGTGAATAGAACAAGGGAACACTGCAGGGTTTAAAATCAGGAAAGGTGTACGTCAGGGTTCCGGCCTCTCACCATAGTTATTCAATCTGTATGCTGAGCAGATCATCAGAGAAACTGGCTTACATCTAGAAGAACATGGCATCAAGATTGGAGGAAGGCTTATTAGTAACCTGTGCTGTGCAGATGACACAATCTTGATGCAAGTGAGGAGGACTTGAAGCACTTAGTGATAAAGATCAAGGACTGCAGCCTTCAATATGGATTAAAACTCATTCTAAAAAAAGACCAAAATCCTCACAAGGGGACCAATAGGTAACATCATGATAAATGGGGAAAAGATTGAAGTTGTCAAAAATTTCGTCTTGCTTGGATCTACAATCAGTGCTCATGGATTCAGCAGTTAAGAAATCAATAAATGCATTGTATTGGGTAAATCTGCTACACCAAAACCTTTTTAGAGTGCTGAAAAGCAAAGGTGTTCCTTTGAGGACTAAGGTGCCCCTAACCCAATCCATAGTATTTTCAGTTGGACTTTGATTTATAAGCAAAACCTGGGAAAACCTACAAAATTAAATGTTTTTTGGTTTAATTAGGAACAATACAGAAAGTATTTTCTGGGTACTTTCGGTGAATAAAATCAATTTGTACAGTTTATTTCAATCTAAATAAAAGGTAAATGTTGAAAGAAAAAAAAAGTTGGACATTGAATAAGGGAGACCTAAGAAATATCAGTGCATTTCAACCGTGGTGCCAGCGAAGAATATTGAAAAGGGGGAACCGATCACAATGATCAACATTTAACCCACTCCCTGGGGGATGGACAACAGAAAGGTGGGTGAAGGGAGATGTCGGACAGTGTAAGACATGACAAAATAATAATAATTTATACATTATCAAGGGTTCATGAGGGATGGGCGGTGGGGAGGGAGGGGAAATGAGGAGCTGATATTAAGGGCTCAAGTAGAAAGCAAATGTTTTGAGAATGATGAGGACAACACATGTACAAATGTGCTTGACATGATGGATGGATGGATGGATTGTGATGAGTTGTACGAGCCCCCAATAAAATGATTTTTAAAAGGGATAAAAAAAGAAAGTACCAGGCACTGCCAAAATGACAAACAAACCTGGCTTGAAGAAGTGTGGCCACGCTGGCGAGATGGGATCTTACAGACTTTGGACATGTCGTCAGGAGAGAGCATGCTTGGTGACACAGAGGGGCAGTGAAAGAGGCAAATCCTCAAGGGGATGGATGGACACAGTGGCTGCAACAATGGGCTCACGCATGGGAACTATTGTGAGGACGTCATAGGCCCTGGTAGTGCTTCCTTTTGTTGTGCACAGGGGTTGAAACTGACCGATGACCCCGAACAACAGCAACATTTCACTGACACGGTGGCTGCAACCATGGGCTCAGACTTGACAGCAATTGTGAGCAGGGTGCGGGACCAGGGGATGGTCCATTCTTTTGTGCACAGGATCGCAGTGATGTGGAACTGACCCAAAGGCACCTGATCACAACGGCAACAACAACATTTTAATTGGTGATACACTGACATTTCTGTCTCCTTAAATACGCAAGTAGGTTTTCTACGCTAGAACATTTTCAGTTCACTGGTCAACGATTTATGGTCACTGTTCCTACTCAAAGTGAGCTGACACATCTGGGAAGTGATAGTGGAGCCCACAGAGTAGGAGTCAACAACTCCTAGTAAATATCCATTTAATATTCCTTTTATTTCAAAAGACAAAAGGGAGAAGAGTGCTCTGTGTTCTCTTTACATTCAAGGGTGGGTTCTACAAGCCACTGATAACACAGAAGATAAAAGAATACATTTTAAGTCCATTACATCTTTCTTGGCCCAGTTGGGGCTTCCTCTTATCAGTAGACTAAGAAGCAGGCTACAAGAAACTTGGGAAAAATATCTTTGACATCTCTTTCTTAATATGAGGAACCTCTGAGGCTGAAAAAGAAATGAATTCACAGATGAGACAGCAAGTGTAATGTATCTTTTTGACAAAGTAGGAAGAAGGAATCAAAATATATTTTCATTTTTTGTAAGGAAAAGGAAATATAATCTTTTTCATTCTCCTTAGCTGCACTTTTAAATATCTGATATAAAGAACAAAAGGAATTAAATTGATGTATTTTAGATTTGTTTGTTTAGGTGTTTTTTTTACATTAATACCAAGCAAGTTTGTAACAAATAAATATTGCTAGGAAATATTGCTTTACCTTCTCCTGAGAGATTAGTTCTCCAGTGTTCCTATTGTTTGGGTTTTGGGGGGGTTGTTTTTGGTACACACAGAAGGAGATCCATCTCGGACATCTGACTTACAGGCTGTTATCCATTGTGCATCAACTGATGATTCTAGAAAGCTTGGAAGCAAATTCTCTCTATTTATTATTTTAATAAATAGAAAAAATATTCCTTTTTCGCCTTCCTTTCTCTTTTGATTAAGAATGACTAGAGAAGCAATCTTGGCACCTCTTCCACTTTATTGCTATTTATTGTTTTTTTTTTTGTTTCAGAAACAAATTACTTTTAGCTAATTAAACTGAGTCTATCGTCCCTGACATCACAAAAAATCATATTTCTGGCCAAAAGCATGAGCTTGGTTTTATGTGTGCCAAAAATCTAATCTGCTAGTGTCTAAATTCATGTTTATCTCAAAATATAACAAAAATGGACTTTTCTGAGATACTCTTCTAAAAGCTCTGTTAAACATAAATCAAGAAACAAGAACCATGATGTGCCTGCCAACTAACTTTCGCCATTAACACATGATCATTCTTACTTCACCTTTAGTGCTACCTACTCCCTCCATCCACCATAGTGTTTTAAACAAATCAATACCATTTAATTTCTATCATGAAGATTTATGTTATCTTTAGCTCAAAAGTTCTTTTAAAAGCATAACCATCATATGACAAGTTAACATTTTAAAACAATTTATGAATGCTATCAAGCATTCAGTGAGTGTACAATGTATCCCACATATCCCTCTTATCCCAATGTATCCCAGTAGTATAAGTAGATGCTTATGTATTTTTGACTATATTTTTAAGAAATCAACATTCACAATGTATGTATCCAATTTGATAGACACGCCTCTCAAGTTTCTTTTAATTACTAAATTACATTACTTCCTTTAGTTGTTTTTTTTTAAAGAAATAAGATTGTCCTACAAAATGTCCCACATGCTATATTTTCAAATGTATTCTGAATAATACCTAATAGCTCAATAAGAAAGTGGTTGGTTGCTAACCAAAAGGTCAGTGTTTGGAGCAAACTTCACAGCTCTACATGAGAAAAGATTTGGTGATCTGCTTAGATAAGTATAATAGCCTGGGGGTTGAGGAGGCTCTATGAGGTAGTTCTACCCTGTCATAGGAGGCCATAGTGAGTTAGAATTAACTAAATGACACACAAGAATATATTCTATAAAATATAAACCCACTACCTTAAAGCAGTGGTTACTTCTTTTTAAATTTTTTATTTGTTTTATCTAACCTAATTAGATTCCATTGAAGAAGTACTGGTGATGCTGTGGGTTAGGCTGCTAACTAGAAGGACGGCTGTTCAAACCCACCAGCTGCTCGCTGTGAGAAAGATAAGGTTGCTTAATACTGTAATGATTTACAGTCTTGGAAACCCTGTAGAAGACTGCTATGAGTCTGAATTGACTGGTGGTGAGTTTGATATTCAACAGAGCAGGCTGGGTGTAGCTAGTACTGTGGAGAGAAGTAATGGAGATGTTAGTTTCTGCAACCCCATACCAGGAGAGCTGAATCACGTGACAGTGATACCTGGGCCCAGAGGATTTCAGCCCAGAGACCAGACCTGGCATTAGAGGTCAGGCAGTTAGTTTGGAGGTCCTTGAAGGAAAGGCAGGGACTTGCGACTTAGTGGTCTAATAGAAATCTGCAGGAAGCTGGCTTCATTCTTCACAATTCTGAAAGAATTATTCTGATGCCTGAAAGTCTAACCTTTCACATGTATTTTTCTTTTTTAGAGTTCCATATACTCCTTCTCAAATCCATTGTATGGTACAACTTCAAGAAGCCTGGAGTATATATCTAATCAAATCAAACAATAGCATCCAGATCAGAGACAATCCAGTGTGTGTACTTTAAAGAAAATTCCCACTTATAAAAACTGATTGAAGCTCAACATATAGAGTAGGGCAAATAGGGGTGATGCAAAATGCTAGTGTAATTTCTACCCTTTAAAAAAATTTTAAATGAATATAATGAGTACTTTCATAAAATTAAATTCTGAACTCTATCTTCCTTGTGTATCTTAACATTTTAATAAATAAACTGTTCAATCAAAACCAAGTTTATCACTTTAATTTTTTATTTTACCAATTATTTTATTATTAATAACAGATTGTTGTAGATATATTAAAACATTTTCTGTTTTTTCATATCACTTAGAAACAGAGGTAAATGAGATGAATAGACAAAATATTTTAAATCTTAAGCAACAAAATATTTTTTTCACAGTTCTAAAGACATAATTTATTGACACTCCTAATATTTGGAAAAACAAGAAGATAACAATGATAAATATATTTTTTCTGTTACATTGGCAAATTCTGCCACAAACTGTACTTGCTTCAAGTAAATGTAATTGAACAATGTAAGTATAGAGAAAAAATTTTAATTATTAGTTCTTTATATTTTACCAGTACTTATTAAGGATGGACACATGGCTATAATTAATTCTTAAGTCTCCTTCCAGATAAACAGTCATATAGAAAAATTCTATTGATTTATCACATTTTAATTTTAAATTGATTAATAGTGTAAGACTTGGTTTCATTCCTAGTTCATCACCTACTAGCTGCATCTTCTTTTTGGAAGCTACATCATGGTATACAATTTAAAAATCATTAAACTAATAATTAACTTTATCAATTTCAATATAAGGTATGAAACATTCAGAATAAAATGTTACATTTAAACACCAAAATCTTAAGTAATAATTATTCCCCTATTTTGAATAAAATGTAATAAATTATCATCTGTACTTAACTTTCATGGATATAGAAATAGTATGAAAACATATATGGGTTAAGAATCTTTGGGTTAGGAAACTGAAACTCCCTACTTATATACTGTAGTAATCATCATTCCACCAATCAAGGAAATGAGAACAAGCAGGGCATTTCTTCAATTGATTACTGTGAGAGCTCAGCCAAGACCCTCGTTGTTTCCAAATGTCTATTCCCATGATGTTTCATCAGGCCAACTCTCCTCCCGGTGAGATGATGAGTGCACGAGCTGCAGTATCATAGGTTCAAAATTCACAATAAAGTTCCGAAGTAGAAAAGATGCCACTCGTTCCTTTGTGTGTGTGCATGTTTACTTTTGTTAGCAAGAACACTTTTACGAGCGTACACATTGAGCACTCTTTTCAACCAAGATAGACTAGGAGTCTCTGCTAATCAATGTGAAAAGGGTAATGAAGATGACTGATTGGCTGAGACACTGCAAGATTACCCCCTGTGGATGAGAGTGAATTTATCAAGCACATGACCAGGTAAAAATATAGAGAGATGAAGTGAAGACAACTCATTAATAATATTCAAACATTACGGCCTTCAGTATAAATTATAACTGAATGTAAAAATAAATCTCAAAACTGGTCAAACAATTTTATGATAAATGAAAAAAATTGAACTTGTCGTTGATTTCAGTTTACTTGGATCATTAATCAACATCCAGGGAAGCAACAGTCAAGAAACTATTGCTGTATTGCATTGGGCGAATCCACTGCAAAAGACCACATTAAAACCTAAAAAGTATATATGCCATTTTGGTATCTAAGATGCATCTGACACGAGCCATGTATTTTTCAGTTGCCTCATTTGCATGCGCAAGGTGGACAATGACAAAAGAGCATAGAAGAATGGAAAGGCAAGCAAAGGAAAGAAAGTAGTATGAAAAGGCAAGAAAAGATAATAAAGAGAAAAATTATACTTATTCACAGATAACACGATCATTTATTCTTATACACAAATGGCATGATCATATTTACAAACATTCCTAGAGACTTTAAAAGAAAGGTACTAGAACTAATAAGATTTCAGCAAAGTGGCAGAATACAAGATAAACTTACAAAAACAGATTCCTCAACAATAGCAAAGAGAACTCTGAGCAGAGAAATCACAAAACAATAACATATACTGTCGCCTTCCAAAAAATAAAATACTGTGAAATTGATCTATAAAAGTATTGCATTGAGTGATACCAAGTATATAAAAGTATTGCATTGAGTGATACCAAGTATATAAAAGTATATATACTTATAAGAGTATAAAAGACATGTACAATGAAACCTATGAAAAACTGCAAGAAACTACAGGCAGAGAAAAATGAAAAGATGTGCCGTGCTCATGGAGAGAAAGACTGAACATTATGAAAATGTCATTACTGCCCCAAATGATCTACAAATAATATGCGATCTTAATCCAATCTCCAACAACATATTTTAAAGAGATGGATAAAACTAATCATCAATGTGCATACCAAGTAAAGGCATTGAAGAAAATGAAACCGCATACTTCCCATCTCAGAATATAATACACAGCTCCAGTAATAAACATAGCCTAGGACTGATGTAATGACAGATACATAGGCAAATGGCACAGAATTGAGAACACAAATGCAAATCCGTCTACCTATGGACAGCTGATTTTTAATAAAAGTCCAATCAATTAAATGGAGAAGAAACAGTTTCTTCAAAAAATCGTGTTGACAAACTGGAAATTCATTTGTTGAATAACAGTGTTGACACATTGTATATCCATTTGACAGAAATAAAAACAAGATCTATATCTCACACAAGACCAAGAGAAAACTATCAAAATCGATCAAGGGCCTAGATATAAAACCTTAAACTATTACTGTGATAAAGTGAAGTTGCTTAAATGAGCCTCTTATACCCATTTCTCTATAATTCCCACAAAATAATTAGTTGGGATGATGCAAATAAAGTATGGAAGCCTGTACTTCCAGGATTGGTCAGTTTTACCATTCCTAGGTATAAAACAGCCATCTCAAAAAGCCAAAACAGAGAGAGTCCCATGACCAGCAAAGAAGAAATAGGCACCAGTGGCACACATTCAAGATCCCTGCCTAGAGTGGTGGAAGTCAAGACCAGAGACACGAAAGGCTGTGTGTGGCACAGAGACTCTGGGACAAATCAAAGAAGATAGACTGAGACCGAGTAGAAGGACTGAAAGAAAGAGGGAGAGAGAGAGAGAGAGAAAGAAAGAGGGGGGACAATAGATAGTTTCCTGACCCACACAGGCAAAGACCAAGGGACCACATGACTGAGTGGCTGGGGATAAGAAAGAGGACTGCCTGCTGACTGAGGAGAGTCATTACCGTGAACCAAAGCCTATCTCTTTAATGCTTTGTGATACTGACTTGTGGTCACCTCTTAACTTCCCTAATAAACAACTCTAACAATAAGGATTGTGGGTGTGTTCTATAAAGCTATCACAATGGATTATGGAACCTAGCAGCAGAATGGCTCTTTACTCACTCATGGAGGAAAACATAGGGGCAAATTTAAAAGTCCCAATATATGGCATAAATAATCTCCGAAACAACAAGTTTCAAAAGCAGGAGATTAACAGATGACTGGGACCTCCTTAAGGCTGCTGCAAAAGAGTTAAAAAGAGAACTTATTGACATTTGAAACAATTTTAACTATGACATATCTGGCAAAGGATTAATTTGTAAAACTTATAGGCAACTTCAATACCTCAAAAACAAAAAAAGATAAACAATCCAATTGAAAAATGGGCAAATGACACGAACGAGCACTTCACCAAAAGGAAATTCAGGTAGCGCGTGAAAACATACTTCTGATCATTAACTACCAGAGAGATGCAAATAAAGCCTGACAAGAAATACCACCTCACATCAGTAACAATAGCATGTTTTAAAACGAAGAGGGTGAATATGAAACATATATCACATATCATATATGTATATGGTACATGTCATATATGTATATGTCATGTATCATATATGTATAATCTTAAAAACCACTTCGACAGAGGCATCCTCACCTCAGCTGGGGTCAGTTTTTCAAGATGTGGGGAGAGGAAGAAGACCATTCAGCTGCTGCCTTACAAAATTGTGCTAAAGTCACCTAAAACCAACAGATACTCCTACCAGATTGAAAAGGAAAACTTACTGGATTTCACATCAAAATGGGGGGACAGGGCCATGGATGTCTTGGAGAAGGCTAAAAAATATCCATTGATAGGAAAACAGGGAGGAGCAACCTCCCATGACAAGTGTGGGTGGGGACAATGGGGGGTGCATAGCAATACTGATACAGAACTCCAGGGGAGAATATACCTGGTCCTATGTTCCTAATTGAGCACTTCTGACCTAGTTTCCATCCTGCCCATGGTGACCCAGGCCGTGTGCTGTAGAATGCTGTCTCTGTAGACTCTTGTTTCAAGGTGAACAACATCCTTCATTGGTAACACCAAATGCGGAAACCACACTAAGTGAACTTGGTTTCACCTCAAACTCACCTGTAGCACTTGAACTTAAGGCTGAAACTCCATGGCATGAGAAGACACAGATGACTGCTGTCCATCCCAAGGACATAGAACTGGCAGACATGGGACTTCGGGTTCAGATCTCTTGCCTTGAAGGTATGTGATGAATGGTGGACCAGAACTGCCATATACTTACTATTTTAATGCCCTTCTTGTTTTATTATAACATTTATCAATCTGATAGATGTGGCTTTGCAGTTGTGAATGAATATTATCGAAAGGTGGATCCATCACTAACCCCCATTGTTTGTGCAAATAGCATCCAGTCACTTAAACGTTTCACCTGTGCAAGTCAACAGTTCATGAATTATGGTTCATAACTGGCCTGTACTCATAATTTACTTTTCTAAAAAGTGTTTTAATATCTATACAATTGGCTAAATTAACGATACTATCAATAGAAATATCTTATACCTCAAGGGATACATGATAATGTTCTCTTAACATTAAAATGTTTAGGGATAAAATAATGTCTCTAAGGTAAATATGAATTTGGTTTATATGAATTGGTTTGGAACTTAATTCTAGACCCAAACTAAGAACAATTCATTTTTATGACATGGTCCTGCTTGATGCTCACCCTCATGAAGCGATAGATCACTGACGAAATGATTGCTCTAGCAAAGTGTGGGGAAGAAACTAGATGGTACCAAACTATCATAGGATAACATCTGGGGTCTTCAAACAAGCTTCCACTAA